TTTAGCTGTGAAAAGCCTGAGATTTTGCTGCCCATGTTTTCTTTTAGGATTTTTATGGTTTCACGACTTACATTTAAATCTTTTATCCATTTTGAGTTTATTCTTATGTATGGTGTAAGTTGGTGGTCTAGTTTCATCTTTTTGCATGTACCTGTCCAATTTTTCCAAGACCATTTGTTGAAGAGACTGTCTTTACTCCATCATATGTTCTTGCCTCCTTTATCAAATATTAATTGACCACAGGATGTGGGTTGATTTCTGGGGCCTGTGTTCTGTTCTACTCATCTACATGCCCATTCTTGTGCTAGTACCAGGCTTTTTAAAATTATTATTATTACAGTGGCTTTGTAGTATAGTTTGATATATGGTATTGTGATCTCTCCAACTTTGTTCTTTTTTCCAAGATTGCTGTGGCTATTTGGGGTCTACTTTCTGACTACTGGTTTTTACCTCCTTGGTTAAGTTTATTTCTAAATATCTTAATTTTTTTGTTGTAATGGTAAACGGGGTTGTTTTTTTAATTTCCCTTTCTGAGAGTTCATTATTGGTGTATTAAAATGCCATCAATTTCTGAATGATTTTGTAACTACTTTGCTGAATTCATTTATTAAATAGAGTAGATTTTTGGTGGAGTCTAGGGTTTTTATGTACAATATCATGTCATCTGCAAATAATAATTTTACTTCCTTCTCCTTTCTTCTTGTTTGATCACTGTGGCTAGGACTTCTGATACTATGTAGAATAAGACTCGTGCTTTTCCCATTAAGTGTTCTTAGGGGAAACACTTAGATTTTGCCCATTGAGTATGATGTTGACCATAGGTTTGTTGTCATGTGTGGTCTTTATTATGTTGAGATATGATCCCTCTATTCCCACTTTGCTGAGAGTTTTGATCCAAAAAGGGTGTTGGGTTTTGTCAAATGCTTTTTCTGCTATTGATATGATCATGTAATTTTTCTATCCTTCATTTTGTTGTGATTGATTTGCAAATATTATACCAGCTTTGTATCCCTGGAATAAATCCCACTTGGTCATGGTGTATGATCTTTTAAATGTATTGCTGGAATCGATTCCCTAATATTTTGAAGATTTTAGCATCTATGTTCATCAGGGATACTGGTGTCAAATTTTTTTTAAAAGAAGCCATATTTACCTTACAAAAATAACTCATGTTTTAAAATAAGAATGTCAGTTATCTTTTTAATTGTCAATCTTCTAAAAGTCATTCAAATGATTTGCAAAAAGCCAATAAAGATGTAATGGATAAACTACCAATCTAG